TGGGTGATAATGTGTTTGAATAGGTTGTTGGGCTATATTGGAACATTTCGGGATTTATTGAAGTGTTTTGAGATGGGAGTGTGGGTGAAAAAAGTAGGAATGGGTGATTTTATTATTTTTCTTGTACATACAAACAGTATTTTATATAATATTTTATATAATATTATATAATTATATATATTTAGATATTGTTTTGTATAAAAAATTTTTTACCGTGACGTGTCGGCACGTACTGTTGTCGCCAAGTTGACACTTGAACATTGAAACGGATCGTCACGTGACCCACCGATGATGGAACACAAGCGCTGCGAGTAACATTTAACACTCAACTTTCGCCCAAAATCAGGCCAGGTTTTTGCGGGTAGCTAAGTATGGAGATCGGTCTTCTTATATCTTACTCCCTGGACGTGGCTGAAGAACAGTAAAGGTATGCAGAGTGCTTGGGGGTGTGAGGATGTATGCGAGTATTGAAATGTCGATTTATAAGGGGATACAGAACGATGACGACTATAGATAAAGACACTTTTAATACATGTATAATATTACCTTAAACAATCGATTGAGCCTATTAAAAATTTTACCCGGCTTAGCTGTGTTTTAGATATGACCACCGTGTCTTCGCTCAACTTGAGGTATAGACACTGTCGTGTTTCTTGATATTATCTATATATATAAGTACCGTCGTCTGTATGTATCTATGTCTGACCGCGAACTACTCATTCGTTAGTGGACCGAATTTTTACCAAGGGTACATGAAATAGGGGTAGAATTTCCCGGGGAGTGCCATAAAGTGTATAGTTTTTTGTTACCGATTTTCTGGAAACCGGTTTTTTTAATTTTTCTAATTTTTCGGGAAATAATTGACCGAATCTTAAAGAATTATATATGAAGTAGGGGTAGAATTTTCTGGGGAATGCTATAAAGTATATAGTTTTTTGTTACCGATTTTCTGGAAACCGGTATCAGAAATTTTTCGGGAAATAATTGACCGAATCTTAAAGATTTATAGATCAAACAGGGATAGAATTTTCTGGGGATGCCATAAAGTGTATAATTTTTTGTTACCGATCTTTTTGGAAGCCGGTACCAAAATTTTCCAATTTTTCGGAAATTAATTGACCGAATCTCAAAAAATTGTATATGAAACAGGGGTAGAATTTTCCAGGGAGTACTTAAAGTGTATAATTTTTCGTTACCGATCTTTTTCGAAACCGGTTCAAAAATTTTTCAAATTTCTCGGGAAATATGAAATAAGGGTAGAATTTCCCGGGAATTGCCATGATGTGTATTTTTTGTTATCGATCTTTTTGGAAACCAGTTCAGAAATTTTTCCAATTTCTCGAGAAATAATTGACCGAATCTGAAAGAATTATAAAGATAGGGTAGAAAGAACTAAAGAATGTAATAGAATTAGAAAAATTGCTAACAAAAATGGGGTTTCCGATGATGTGTATAAAATTATATTAATTTTGGACGAGCCTTAACTACGCACTGCGATATCTAACAATATTAATATTTTGATCTCAGAAGATTGGACGAAGGAAATGGAAGATTACAAAAATTGTAATTATAAATATTAATTAATATAATTAATTGAGTTTTATTCAATCTTGCAAAACGTATATTTCGTGGGTGTAAAATAAAATTCCTTTCAATAATATTTATATTTTTTAATTAATAGTAAACAAATGTAATAAAATTAATAATAAATAAATTCTTTTCATAAAAATAAATATAAATTTAACAAATGATATCGTTCATAGGTTGATCAATTTTAAATGAATATAAGATATGTAGGATAAGTTGCTACTTTCACATATTATATGTCAATTGATAAACCACTCACTTCAATTCGTGACTGTCGCGAGCGATTGTATTTTGTGTGTCAAGAGTTAGCATACAGAAAAGATACAGTTTTTTATGCAATCGATCAAAGACAAATCGCAAGAAAAAGACAAAAAAAGAACATTATGAGAAAGAGAGAGAGAGAGAGAGAGAGAGAGAGAGAGAGAGAGAGAGAGAAAGGGGAAGAGAGAGAGAGAGACAAAGAAAAAAGGTATGTATCTTTTCTTGACATGTTCTAACTCTTGACACACAAAATACAATCGCTTTTAATAATATTTATATTTTTTAATTAATAGTAAATAAATGTAATCGGTATCAGAAAATTTTCCAATTTTTCGGAAATTAATTGACCGAATCTCAAACAATTGTATATGAAGTAGAGATTGAATTTTCTGGGGAGTGCTATAAAGTGTATTATTTTTCGTTACCGATCTTTTTGCAAACCGGTTACGAAATTTTTCCAATTTTTCGGGAAATAATTGAATCTTAAAGAATTACATTATGAAATAAAGATAGAATTTCCCCGGGATTGCTATAAAGTGTACAATTTTTTGTTACCGATTTTTTGGAGAACCGATTACGAAATTTTTTCAAATTTTCGGGAATTGAAAAAGAATTCGAAGATGTAGGTTAGAGTTTGAAGAGAAAGAATATCAAAGGTGCTCCTAATTAATGAGTGAGTTTGGGGAGAGGGGAATGGATTTTGAGCCCGCGCGAAGCGCGGGCGAAAAATCTAGTTTATAAGTATAGGGGAGAAACAGATATATATAGGGGAGACCGGGACGAAGTCGGCCCTATTTTTCCGGTGCCGATTTTTAACAACAAAATAAATTATTTTAGTGAAATATAGTATACCATTGTAAAGAGTGAACCCTTGGCTACAAAATTTATACAGGCATTTTTTGTTTACGTCGCTTTGTTCATCCGGTATAAAGTAAAAACGACAAAGGTTCAAAAATCGAAAAGTCAAAATTCCCGGGGCGGAATCGTTACACCCCCGGGGCGGAGTCGTGTCTTCATTCTCGGACTGAATTTTAAATAAACATACATAATTTTGATTATAAAAAATAATAGAATACACTTTATTCATTGTTTTTTAGTAGAAAAATGGAAAGCGGAAAATAATTAAAAAAAAAACAGTCTGACGAACGCACGCACTCGTTGTGTGCTTTACGCCTGCACGAAATGCACTGTTTTTCATCGGCTCTGTTTTCTATATCTCCGAGCATACGCAGCACATATTATTTAGCTTTCTTGACTTTGTTTTTCGCCCACTGCTCGTCGAAGGCTGCGGTTCTGATTGTATGGCATTTTTTGGGGGGCCGGCCTCTCTTTCTCGGCGTAGTGGTAATGGTCGATTTTGTCGTTCTCTTCCTTGTAGCAGATTTCTCATCTTTCTTCCGCTTTAACTCCGCCTGCTCAGTCGCTAATTCCTTTATTTGAGACGAGTCAGTAAGGACGACGGTTGTTCTTCGTTTTCGTCTTTCACGAGTTGTCTGCCTCGGAGCGGCTTTAGGAAACGGCTTTAGGAGAGCCAATCTGACAATTCTGACTTCGGATTCGGATTCAGCAGGTCAAAATACATGGGAATATACTAGTGTAGTGTCTCGGCCAAGACACTTTTTATTCTTTGTGTGCCTGTGTTATCATTTCGTTCCAACATATTTGCACTTTATAAGTTGAACGTACTTTTTAATAGACCGCATATACATGTGATACAGCGTTGAATTCCTCGAGGAACGAAGGTAGCTACGTCCATTGCATTGTTCCCGTTCCGTGGCCACTGTATTCGGTGGAACGCGGTAACATCCTGCTAACGTCTGGCCGTTACTATGAAATGTCAAACATTGCCCATCGACATAACTCACTTGCAACTATCTTGATTACGGATGTATGCTTTTCTGAAATTCCATTGCGCATTCTGATCATTGCGTCGATGCCATAGTCTGTCGTTATTTCGATATGTAATACAATAACGATCGAGTATTAGGTAAATACTATTATAATATTTTTTTTGTGCTAAAAACCACGCTACTTTATATTTGTCACGTGACTACGTAACTATAAATGTGAAAAATAAAAGACAAAGGATACACCATACACTGCCGGCCAAAAGTCTGAGACTACATATAAAAAAAAATATTTCAACAAAACATTACTTTGAAACAAAGTTTGATTCATGTCTTATCTTAATTTAAAAATAAATAAGGATTATATTTAACACGGTTGTGATTAACACAACATTGTTTAATTTCAAGAAAGTGGACTACGGTCAGAAAGCCTTTTTTCCAAAATTAGCGGGGAAAGAAGACCCTGTTGAGCTTGACTCTATTATAGTCTGGCACTATAAGGAGACATGAGAGGTGTAGCATAAGTGGGAGATGGCAACATTGCCGGTGAAATACCACTACTTTCATCGTTTTTTTACTTACTCGGTTAGGCGGAGCGCGTGAACTGAACTGTGAATTATTGTATGTACATAGAAGATGAGTGGAAGAATTTTCCGTCAGAAAAAAATTAATAATCTTGTAACTAGATTAGCTACAATCTAGATATTAATCTAAATTAATAAAAAAGTTATTAAATGTATAGGGGTGGCTTTACTTTTTAACGAAAAAATGTCTAGTACTTTTTAATATCTAATATCCTCATCTTGTAAAAATATTTTTTGTAAAACTCAAACATTTTATATTATTTTTTAGTTTATTATAAAAAATGAATAAAATGATAAAAATATGTTAAATAATAATGCATAAGTACGATTTTATATAATAGATATTTTTAATTTACTTTTAATCGACAGTGTATATATTTTAATCTCTCGACTTAATAATACAACTAATGCAACGACATTCTTATTCTACGTACATGTGCTATTACAATAAGAATGAGGATTGAAAAGAATAATTTAGAATAAGGAGTTGATTTTAAGTGTAGGATATTTCAATTATATATACTCACAATATTCTTTAATTTCTGATGTAATGTATACGATGTTAAACTTATATATGTTTTACCTTATATATATTATATATATTATATCTATCATTTCCGCCTAATGTTAAATATAATATTTATAATATATATGTTAGTAGCTGTCAACTCTATCTACCTTTTTTTAGTTGCTCAAGAAATCTTTTTTCTGTTTGTTACAGAGAAACGATAACCTCGACTTGTCTTTGAACGTTCCGCAGCATCACCAAACATCATACCATCACGACAGCTACAATATGTCGGACCAGGTGAGTGAATCGTCATCGATTTATCGGCAGCTGCCATATTCATATGGCGATTTTACTTATAGCAAAGTGGTTCAGCCGTTCACAGATTACACTAGTTAACAATGAAAATGTATCTTGCATCAAAACAGTCAGTTCTTATTAATATATATTATGATACTAATAACATATATGTCAACAATAAAAAATTTTTTTAAAAATAGAACCGACTTCAAAAAAAGCTCTAAAAAATATTTAAAAAATTGAAAAAAATTGAAAAAAACTTTAAAAAGCATGAAGTTTAATACTTTTAAGAATTCCTTTCAATTTTTTGAAGTCGGCACAAAATTAATAATATTTTTAAGAATCCCTTTCAATTGTTCGAAGTCGGCGCCAAATTAATAATTACTAAATTAATTTGGCGCCGACTTTAAAAATTGAAAGGAATTCTTAAAAGTATTATTAATTTTGCGCCGATTTAAAAAAATTGAAAGGGATTCTTAAAAGTATTATATTTTATACTTTTTAAAGCTTTTTTTAATTTTTTAAAAATTTTTAAATATTTTTTAGAGTTTTTTTTGAAGTCGGTTCTATTTTTTAAAAAATTTTTTATTTTATACTTTTTTAGTGCTTCATTAAATTAATATGAATAAAAAATAATAATTTATTAGTAGCTTAAAATTATGATCGCATATTTCTTTATTGTTCCGTACGTATATGTTCTAACACGATATTTTATGAACTAAAACCTTTCTGGGGGATTAATTGCTCTATGGGACAGTGAAAACCGCATCCAAATCCGTCCAGTAGTTTCAGAGAAAATTGCGAACATACATACATACATACATACATACTATACATACTCGCCGAATACAGAACCTCCTTTTTGAAGTCGGTTAATAAAAATTAAATTTTAGTTCTAGTTTTTATGATAACAATAATACGGGTGCAATATAAGAAATAAGATGTAAATGATGAACATGGTGAGCATTTTCACCAAGATATTTCGCCAATGGAAAAGAGATAACAGAGAAAGTATAAGAGTCCTGCCATGTTAGCAAACTACTGTTTGGCTGTAGCCAGAAATACTTCAGAAGTAGCTTACAAGTGACAAATCAAGCAAAAGAACTTAAATTAAGTTTTAAATAACTTAGACTAGCAAGATTCGTTCAATAATAAATTATTTTTTAGTCAATAAATTGTGTGGAGAAAACAAATACAAAAGAACTCTTTAGAAAATAATTGAGTTTATATTATCTTCAGTATCTTAAATATGCATTTTTTATTATTATGTATAATCTATGTTTCTTGAACTGAAGTTAAGTAATGTTTTTCATGCTTATACTTGGTCTATTTAAGTGTAAATAAATGGAACCATTTTAAAAAGAAGTAGGATACAAATTTTTATAATCGTGTCTTACATAAGTGTCAGAGAATCTTGAAACACGAAAGATAGGAAAAAAGATAAAGCCCCTTGCACAATAGGCGATAGCGATAGTGATAGCGACAGCGACAAAGGTATAGCTTTGTCGGCAACCTTGTCGCTATCGCTATCGCCTATTGTGCAAAGGGCTTAAGAAATAGAAAAAAAATAGGGACATAAATTTGCAGCCAATATATATGTCAAATATATCGAATTTAATAATCTATTTCATTGAAATTACGCATGGATTTGTCCCGTATTTCTATTAATATTTTTCAATCGCGCTTCAATTTTACCTATTATATGTATTTATGGTGCGACCTAATTTAAAAAAGCTCGGAAAAATTTCTTATTTTTAATATTGGTTTACATGTTCTTATTTTTTATTTTTATTTTGAATTATCCTGATTGAATAGCAACATAATCGATTTAATAATGATCGAATATACACGGTTGGAAAATTTATGTTAAATATAACATAAATCACATGTCCCAAACTGTCTATTCAAATTTTTGTGTTAATTTAACATAATATGGATGTGTTAAATGGTAGCACCTATACTAGGGTAAACTTGGATAAGATAGCCATAGAGGAAAGATGGCCAACCCATGTTCATTTCATGTTTTATAGACGAGCTAGATTGAAAGAAAATATGTTGGCTATCTTACCCGAGTTTATCCTATCTTAATATTTCAACAGAAAAGAAATGTAATTTTGATCATAATTTGAACACCCAAAAAAAAATATTCTGCAGTTTAGCGGTTCCTGGTTCATGCTAGAGGATTTTCCTCTGAAATAGGGCCTTAAGAAGATGTTTTAAACTGTAGAGGAATATCCTCTAATCATGAGACTCTAGATTCAAGATTGTGCAGTCCTCTTAATATTAGAGGACATTGATTTCCGATATTCACCCGAAATAAATAAAAAAAATTATTTATTTTGAAATTTTATTACTATTTTATAACTAAATTTGTTTCTTAAGATGTAGTCTATGATTATAAATATTTTCTTGTATTGGAAAAAACACTTACACCTTGGTGGGATCGAACTCGGTACCTCTGGATCGTGAGCCAACTGCCTTACATGGTAGACCACTTCTTAATTTGATGTAAGTGTTATATATTGTCTACATAACCAGCGCAAATATATAATTTTCCAAAAATCATCTTAATAAACAAATTCAGTTTAAAAAGAGCAATAAAATTTTGAATTGGATATAAGATATATGATATAATATTTCTTAATGTCGGGTGAATGTCGGGGGAATAAAAATCAGAAATCAGTGTATAAATGCAGAATAAACAGTGACACAGGCAATAGACACAGGAGTTTCCGTCAAGTTGGAAATTATGTGTCTATTGCCTGTTGCCAACAAATCATAACATTCGAATATTTTAGGTTGTAATTAACGATTTTTTATTATTTCCTGTTCCTATTGCCTGTTGCCTGGCATTGTGCAAGGGGCTGAACTTTCTACACGGGCGTCTCGTGTGGTAGCGTACGCATCGCGTAGCTAATAAGACGATCGTCTTTTAACTTTAACGCGCGCGCCGCAAATATCTAGCATATCCTCTTATTTTAAGAGGCTAATAGTAGAATTTACTGTAGAGGAATTTACTCTTGATTATAGCTTACGCATCCACTCATTTATAAAGTAATACGTATTACTTAAAGAAGGATATTCTTCATGTAAGATTTTTTGCTTAGAGGAACTGCTAAGAGGAATTCCCCACTTATCGGCAGAATATTTTTTTTTGGGTGAAGGTAATTGTGTGTACAATTAATATAACTTTTATGTTAAATCTTATGTTGAATTATCCCCACTTCTGTTATAGAGTAAAATCAACCCTCTTTTTCTGTAAATTTGTATTCCTACTTCTGTTATTAGTCCAGTCAAAGTAAGAAAAATGACAGAAATAATTCCAAAAGGTCTGAAATTTGGTAGAGATGTTCGTTTAGGCTTATACTAATAAACGTCTAAAAAGTCCTTAAAAATTGAAAGTGAGCTGTCGCCACTATTTTAAAAAATAGGTACATTTTTTCAGTTTTTTGCATAAATCTCGTAAAATTATTATTATTATTATTACTTTTTTGCATATATTTCGTAAAATGGTAAATGTTTAGTATAACGCTCTCCCCTCCGATTTTCTTACAACTTTGTAAAATTGTTTATTTCTGTGTGTAAAAAACATTCTGAGAAGGAAAATCGTCGCTCAGGTCTCGTTTTTTTTTTTAATTTAATTTCAAAGTTTTGATGTCGGTAAGGTAGGAAAATGATAATTTACGTTTTTTAAATACTGCGCAACTTTATTTGTTACTATATTCACAAATTAAGTTGTCCGCATACTCATTAACGGTGCCATTTAGGTTAAAATTTTATGGTTGTGAAATACTGTACGTGGCCAAAATTGATAAATTGATAAATTGATAAATTGTGATTTTCGTTAAAGCACTGCACACACACACGTGTGTATGCCCTGCTTTATAGAAGTCGTGATTTTTGTTAAAGCAGGGCACACACACACACGTGTGTATGTCCTGCTTTATAGAAGTTGTGATTTTCGTTAAAGCAGGGCACACACATGTTTTAAGCAGATATTTTGTATTTAATTAGCAGACAGTTGTCACGTGACCTTCAAATGAAGTTGCGCAGTACTTTAAAAACGTAAATTATCATTTTCCTACCTTACCGACATCAAAACTTTGAAATTAAATTTAAAAAAAACGAGACCTGAGCGACAATTTTCCTTCTCAGAATGTTTTTTGCACACAGAAATAAACAATTTTACAAAATTTTAAGAAAATCGGAGAGGAGAGCGTTATACTAAACATTTACCTTAGGCAAATAAGAAAATATTTCCCACAAAAACTGTTCAAATTAATTAGTAGAAAAATATGGCACAATAAAAATAAAGGTTTTCATGTATAATATAGAAAGTGTTTGAAGCTCACTAACTACTCACGCGACATTCGCAGCCCATGTTCTTGAAAACTATTATAGTTATTAAAACATTGGATAATACCTCTTTTATAGACAATTTAATAAGCTTTAATTTCGATAATAGGTATTTTTTCAAGAAAGTAAATATTTTACTGAGATATATGCAAAAAATCGAAAAAGTGCACCTATTTTTTAAGATGGCAACAAACGCTTACTTTCAATTTTTTAGGACTTTTTAAATGTTTACTAGTAAGCCTAAACGAATATGGGAGACCGGGGCTTGTTGGCACAAGAGGCAAGGGCAATGCGTTCCGTTTATGTATTCATAGTGAAAGAAACAATGGAAAAGTAATCACAAAATTTCTCTTTATGACATAGATACTTTTCTCAAAGTTTTATTTAAATCAACAAGTATTACAATAAAAAAAGAGGAAACTGATTCAAGAGGTGGCAAGTAAATTTTTGAGCGTTTCAAAATATTGTATTAATGTTCTTCAGCTTGAGAAGTAAATCAAAGTTTCGTATTATTATTTAGCGAAAAGAAAAGTTTCTGCTACTATACGACATGTTATTTTGAGAAACAACAGTAATTTATTGTTATAAAATGACTGAAATCAAACGTACAATATGTGTGTAGGGATGGGGGATAATATGTTGGC